ATCTGCAGGGAAACCCAGAGGTGAGAAATAACTGTTCATATACGTTTTTACACCACATTTTGAGGAGCTGGTCTCACCACTGGGTTAGGTGCACAGACCACAGCCATGGTCAAGTTGTTTAATTTTTGCTTCCCTTTCTTCTCAACAAAAAAAAAAAAAAAAAGTAAAATATTTTTTTATATCCCAGCAGCTCCGGGAGGACCTCAATGCTGCATTGCATACAGGAAAGCTGGTGGCTGCAATGGACCCAGAGGTGCTGCCTTACCTTAAACTCACCCAGAAAAATCCCTCCAGAGCCTCTGGGGCTGCAGCTTCACCTTCTCAAAGTGGCATGCACACAGCAGAGGTGTTTTGGAGAGCTCCCATGCTTAGACAGAGTAGGGAGGCAGTGGGAGGTCAGGACTGTGGAGCAGGAAGTGATCCCCCCCAAACTCAGTCCAGTTTGAAAGCCTGGCAAGCACTAACACTAACAAACAGTCAGTGTGTTTATATCCCACCTTCCTGCTGGAGAGCAGGGGTTATTTTTGGCATATTTTGTCATTGGTGGAGATGTCAGTGAAGGCCAGGAACAGTGCAGAGCTGTTGGGAAAGCCCAGAGGCAACTGCCCCAGGCACAGCATGATGAGATGAGGGATGTGGGAAGCTGCTCCAAGCCATTTACACAGGGATTGGGTTTTGCTTGCAGGATGTGGGGCACAGCCCTGGCTCCAAAACACATGAGGACTAAGAACAGCATGGACTGTCCTATTCCAGATCTATTCCAGCCCCACACTGCCCCCATGCAGCAATGGAGCAGGAGCGTCATCCTGAGCCCTCACCTTCCCACCTTTCCTGCCTGTGCACAAACCATGGCCATCAGCTGGGCACTAACAGTGAATGTTCTGGCACCATCAGTCACCTCTTCCAGCCTGCACTCGCTGTCTTTCATCAGGACTTACTGCTCATGCTGAGTTAAAACAGAAAGGATGAAGAGAGCACAAAGCAGCATCACTCTTGCCCACTTGCCATTGTGCCACAGGACTTGGTCACATTCCTTAAAACAAGCCGCTGGTTTAAGATCATTTAAACCACTCACCTCCCCCATTTTCCCCCAGCAAGTGACCTCCTTACCCACAGTTTTGGATCTGCCTTGTCCCTCCTGTGAGCACCAGACGTCCTCTGCAGCCAGGACTGCTTTTCCTGACAAAACCAGCAAGATCAGCAGGGAGAGCACACAGGTTCCTGCGAGTGCTTGCAGGCTGATGGCTTTGGCAGATAGCTGGGTCTTCTCTTCCAGACATGTAGCTAAAATAGGGAGCATGAGTAGCTGGAAAGCCCAGGTTTGATTTGAGCAGAAGCTTGGACTGGTATCAGCCAAGAGGAAAACAGGTAAAACCAGGATTTTGGCAGGTCAGGAGTTACTGGCCAAACCTCAGACCAGGTGTGATAATCCCGACTGCCCCACTGCAGCAGGGAATGTGGCTGGAAGCACCATCCTTTCACAAGGCTTGTCCATAAAACACAACATTTAAGCCTAGAAAGCTGTGGAGAGGTGAAGAGAGACCTTTTTCCATGCCAGCTCCAGATATGTGGTCTCCCATCTCCTCCGGCCTTTGCTGCTGCTAATTCCCCATGCATTACCCGAGGATTTGGCCACCCCCACACTTCTTGTCTAGCACAGGTAGTTTGGAGGACTGCAGTCCACATAAGAACTGATTTAATCCCACAACCATGGTGTAGTTTATGAAGATGCCACAGACTCTACTTGGCATCAAGAGCTGGAATTGAGCCCTACCTTTGCGCACCCATTCAGATCCAGCACTTTCCCTGGGCCTCTTTGTTTTAGCCCCAACCAAAAGATGAAATTAAGAACATTCCCATTAATTCCCCATGCATATGAAGGGCTTGAGGATTTCTCCTCCAGCTCAGGATCCCTGTGGCCTCACTGAGCCCAGCACTGGCTTCCAGTCTCACAGGCATGCTCACCTCCTCTCTCCCCAACGCTGAGGAGATAACAGGGCAATTGCCATAATGAGTCTCTGTCTGTCCAGCCCTGCTCAAAGCAATTAACAAAGCCAGGCACTAATGAACTTGGCTTCAGAGTACCCGGAGATGGGTTATTGCCATTTGAAGTGGAGGAAAACCAAGGCAAGAGCAGGTGGAGTGGCTGACCCTGGTCACGAGGTACCTCAGGTTGGATGCAGGAGACAGAGCTCCCTGCCTGGAGCAGGGAAAGGACGGCAGGTAGACACGAGGGCGACCACAGCTCTCTAATGTGGTGTCTGTGGCTGGAGAGACTGGTTTGTCCACGTTTGGGAGGGCAGGAGGGACTCCCCGCCCATCCCAGTCCTGTCTCATCCCTGAGTGGCTTTGGGGAAGCTGTGTCTCTGCAGCCAGAGGTCCTGACACCCACCTTGGTGGAACTCCTCTACATCCTGCACCCCAAGTTTTGCAAGACCCCAAATGTGGCCACTGAGGCACAGAGCAGCAAGACTCATGGGTCCCCTTGCAAAGAAACTTCCTCAGGCCATGACTCACCATCCCACCCTCCCTGGTGTCACTCGTGACTCCGTTTCACTTTGCTGCAGCAGCATTTCACCATCTCTTATCAATGCAGAAGACAACAGGCAGCCTGTCCTGGCTGCAGACACGTGCCCAACACCTCTCCCTGCAGCATTTTTGGACCAACCTCCTCATTGTTGTGAACTCAACATCCTCTTGTAAACGACAGGTTCCCCTGCAGTGCTGGAGGGGGTCAGAGTGGGTCCCTCCAGGTCTGCCTGCAAGGGTGAGGATAGCTGATAAATCACAGGGATGTGGCCTCTGCACCACATGCTCCCACAGCACACACGTCCTCACATGCACGTTGACGGCATGCTAAAAATATTCTTCACTTTTTGACCGATTAAAATTTTCCAGGAGAGTTGGAACCACAGCCCCCACCCTATCTGTACAGCCAGAGGCTTCCCCTCACCTCCCCCAGCCCTGCCAGGAAAGCAGAGGATACTGAACAACAGTTCCGGTAATTTGGGGGTTTTTGGTTCCCTTAAAAGCCTGGCTAAAATATCATCTTTTTTCAATAGTTTATTTTGTGATGTCTGGCACCATTCTGGAGCTAAACTTGGCACCCTGTCTTGCTCTCATACACCCACTGAGAAGGCTGTGGGTGAGCTGGGATGATCCCACTTCCCACCCAAAATCCCATTTTGATGGCTCAGGAAATTAAACAAAGAAAATATGTTTTAAAACCAGCTTCCACCTGGTGTTAGGCAACAGAGAGCTAACGCTGGCTTGGTGACAGCTCTGAATGCTGATGGCCAGTCACGATTTTCTTGACATTATCTTTCAGAGCTGCCTGTTGTGCCAGGTAAAGAAGGAACCTGAAGGATGCTGTCAAACCCCCAGCCACTGGCCAGGCCCCTCTGTGCCATCACCAATGCTTGTGGCAGCATTTTCTTTGCCTAATTTGGCTCTTGGCCATGGAGGAGGAGCAGAGGAGGCACAGAAGGTGTTTATACAACATGGGGATTGTCTTGGTGAGACCAGAGCCTTTGCCCAACTGAGCTGAGCTGATAGGAAGATGTCATCAGTGTGCTTTTGCTAATTATCACTAATAATTATTTGTGTGCAGTTTCTCTTAGGAGCTCTAGTCCTGGCTCAGCCCCTGATGTTCTTGCATCCCTGTGAAACTGGAGCAAACAGGAGGGTCCTACCCCAAAATGCTGCAGGTGACAGGAGAGGGAGGGCAAGTGCAGTGCTTGGGCAATGCCCTGACCACGGTGGTCAGCACGATGCATCCTCCCTCTTGATGTTCTCTCCCTGCTCACACCAGTTACAACCAGTTAGACCCTCTCTGTCCTCCCCTGGCTTTTCCGAGTGTGTCTGGTGCCTCAGCCTCTTGTCAAAAGCCAGATTCATCACAGCACAGCTATTAGCTGCTCCCTCCCATGTGAGATGTCTTTCTGCTGACATGGCAATCATTCTCCTGTCAACGTGCCTTGACAGTACCAGGATTTCTCATTTCAAGCCCTGGTGTGTCCCAGGGTGATTCCCAGCTCCTCCATTAACCCCTGGCCCTGCAGGATGGGGATAGCCTGCCCTGATGGATGATCTGCTATCCCTTCCACCTCTGGTTAGCAGAAGCTGCCTCCTGTTTTTCCTCTCAGCACTTGCCACACCTATGCAGAAGAGCATTTAACCTGGAGGTAGAGGGTGTCAGACTTTTATTCTCCTTTCCTTCTTATTTTCTGTGCTGAGAACAATGGAGGCAAGGTTTGCAGAGGGAGGTAATGTCTTTTTTTAGACTGACTGAAATAATTAGAAGAAAAACCAGGCAGGCTGTTGGGTACATGAGCCCTCCAGCAGGCCTGAAATAGCTGCAGAAGTCTGCAAAGCTGAACACCAGTGGAGAACAATAGCTCTAAGCATGACTAGTGTTAACCACTTCTGTTACCAAAGACCATTCCCCAGCTGTTTTCCTTGGGGCATCACCCCTCTGCCAAAATCCACTGTCCAGAGACCACCCCATGGCCGGGAGCCACTGCTGTGGCTGAGGGAGCCATGTGGCTACACAGACCTGAGCCCTGGACATTGCTCCATGGAGCATCCCTCGCCTCTCTCCACCCTGTGCCCTGTCCTGCAGCTCCTGGGGCCTGACCTGACCCCAGCCCCAGGGACACTGTGCCACCCCAGACCCTGCCTCACCCCCGGGACCCTGCCTGACCATGAGGACTCTGATTTCAGGTACTGTCTTACTACAGGGGTCTGGCCTGACCTCATGGGACCCTCTCTGATCCCAGGGCACCATGTGAGACACCAGGGAGCCCCCTGACCTTTGAGACCTGCTGATTTCAAGAACTCCCCTACCATGGGGTCTAGCTTGATCCCTGGGGACCCTGCCTAACCCCAGGATCTGTATGTGACCCCGGGGACCCTGCCTAACCCTGGGGATCCCATTGGACCCTGGGGACTCCGACAGACACAGGGGGCCTTCTGATTTCAGGGATCCTCCGATTTCACAGACATTGTCCCACCACGGTTTTGCCTGACCCCTGATGACCCTATCCGACCCCGGGGGATCTCTCCTACCCCGAGCTCCAAGTCCCGCTCCGGCTATCCTGTCATCCTCGGTTATTCTGCCCACCCCAGGCTCCACGTCCCACCCCGCAGCCGCCGTGTGACCGCACGGACCCCGCTGCTGCCCCTCCCCGGGCTCAGTCCCAGCCCGTCCCGGGGGCTCCCACCCCCGTCGGCGGCGGGGGGGCCGGGCCGGGCCGGGCGGGGGGGCCGGGCCAGGCGGCGGCGGGGCCGGGGCCGGCGGCGGGGGCATCCCCGCCTCCTCTCTGGCAGCGCCGGAGCCGCCGGAAACCCGGCGGTGCTGCTGCTGCCGCCGCGGCTCCGGCTCCCCGAGAAGTTGTTGCCGAGGGAGAGCGGCGGGGCCCGGGCCGGCAGCCCCGGCCCGCCCGGCATGCCCGTCCGCCCGGAGCCCAGCGGGGCAGCGGGGCGGCGGCCGAGCCCCTGAGCGGGCGGCGAGCAGCCATGGAGCAAGTGAGTCCGGCCGGGAGCGGGGGGACCCCGGGACAGGGAGGGGGGACCCCCGGGCCGGGCGGGAGAAGCGCCGGCCGGGACAGGGGGACCACTTCGGGGTGTTTCGGGGTGTTCGCCGGCGCTGGGACATCCCGCCCCGCTGCGCCCGGGGACGGCGAAGGAGATCGCGGGGCGGGGGGATCCCCATCCCCGGCAGCCCCCGAGCGGCTCGGGCAGAGCCTCGGCAGCGCATCCCCGCAGCCCTCGGGATGTTGGACCCGGCCGGGTCCACGCGTGCTCGGGCCACCCCAGTGACTCCCGCTGGGGTGTTGTCCTGCCCTGCTGGAGTCGGGCCTGGGTCGAATCGCCAGCTTGGACATGTCTACGCACCTCCAGCCTTCCCCGCTGCTGTTCTGCTCCTCCTTTCTGTTTGGGACGGGTTTAACTCGGGGAAGGGCAGTGGTGCTTCTTCCGCACACGGTTTTCGTGTCCATGGGATCAGACACCCCAATAATCCATCCCTGTGAGGATTGAGTAAGATGCCACAAATTTGTTAGCAAGTTAAACAGGTCGCTTTCTCCCCTCGTCTGGCCATGCAATTATTCCTGCTTCCTTTCCTTGGATGAGGTTTTGCTGCTCATGCACAAAGAAAGCTCCCGGCAGGACGGACTGCCGGAGGACTTCAGGCTCTGTCTGGTACATGCGATCCCTGTAGCTGTGGCTTGTCTCTCCCCCCTCACACCCCCTTATTTCAGCTCCCAACATTCTGTGGCAAGAATGAAAGCTCTTTTAAAACAGCAGGGAGACGGCAAAGCAGCCCAAGTTGGTAGTGACTGAGAGTTGTTATTATCCGCTGGCATCCATGAAATTAATCCACAGCAGAGAAACTGCTTCCAGCTGGTGGCTGCCGGCCAAAGGGGCTTCACACTTACCCCAGCATTGGCTGGCCCTCTCAAGGGCTTCTCTTCTTTAGTGATACATGAATCCTCCAAGGATTGCTTGTAGAAGGGGTGTCAGAGGCAGTTCCCCAAGTTCCACGTGGATCTGAGCAGTTTGTTTCCAGTGAAACAATCTGTTTTGCTCCAGCAGGCTGGGGAGAAGTGGAAGTGCTAACAGCAAGGTTTGGGAGATAACGTGGAAAGGGAGAAGAAGAGTGGACGTGTGGGGATGCAGGTTGTCTCCTGGGAGTTGTTAATCAGCACCTTGGTAAAAGGGAGAGCATGATAAGTGAGATGCTTGATTGAAGTAAAGTTGATGTAACTGGCTAAGGCACTTCTGTGCTCTGTGTAACTTTAAAAACACCACTGTGATTCAGCTCTTGGGGGTTTGTTTTGTTGGAAGACATGAAGACTGTGTGGGTTTGTGGGCCCATAAAATACAGGGCAGGGGAGAAAAAACTGCCTAGTTGTTAAATAAAAAGCCATCTTGTCTGATTTGGGTTCTTTGCTGAGCTGCAAAATGTGAGGCTAAACCAAGCTGAAGGAGTGGAACTCAAGTTTCACTTTTAATGCCACCGTGATATAAAATGCAAAAATGGCTCCTTTGGGTTGGTTTTGGGAGCGATGCCTTTGGCCTGAGCCAGCATTGGGATAACTTGGTTCTTCCTTCATTTACACGGGCTCACTTGGCTGATGTCAGAGGGCTTCTTCTATGGAATTACCACAAGAATGAATCCAGCCCAAGAACATCCCAGGAAGGATAGCTGAATATTTCTTGTAGAATGCTCATATATATGAGTTAACAGCAGCAGCTCATGTCTTTGTGTCATGCCCCCATTTTAATTGTGGAATTGCAGGCAGGGGACACAGGATGGACACAGTGCCCTGCTGCCGGTGCCCTTCCCTGGCCAACCTCCCCTTGCCAATTTGGTGCAGGGCTGGCATAAAAATAATCTGCAAAAATGTCAGGCACCACCTCCAAGACTCTTCTTGCTTTTGCAGGAACAAAGTTTGCTGTTGAATTTTCTTGCTTTTGCAGGAACAAAGTTTGCAGGTGAGGGATTACAGCACCTGCCCCCCTTGAGGGATGTGCTGGGTGTGTGTGAGGGGGAAGCTGCTGACCCAGAGCCCAGCAGCTCAGCATCCCTGAGTGCTGGATCTCACCCATCACATCTGCCTTGTAGCAGGGACTGGAGAAGGCAGCTCAGCCTCAGGTGACTCCTGTGCAGTGCAAGGGGCAGAGCTCTCTGCTTTTGGCTGTTGTCACTTGCTGAGAGCAGCACTCTCCATCTCATTCCCTCACCTTCCCTCTCCTGGGCTGCTCAGGTGGAGTCTGGAGTCATGGATCCTCTGTGTGGATGCTCCCAGCTGCTGGCACAGCAGAAAATCCTGCCTGGTATGGAGGGTTCCCCCATGCATGGCTCCTTTCAGCAGGGATTCCATCAGGGCTCCTGAGTGATCTGGGGAGCTCCAAGGCAACCCTGTAATGCCAAGGGGGGAGGTGCAGTCCCTGAAAGGCTGGAGAGCCAGACCCCAAACCAGCTGTGCCCTCGCTGTGCCTTGCACAGAGGTGCCAACATGAGCCCTAGCTCTGCTGGGGCAGGTTGTTTTTCAGAGGTAGATGTTAGGTCTGCTGTGTCTTCACAGGGAGTACTTTTATTTTAAAACCAGTGTAGTTTTCACTCTGCAGAACAGAGCATGGATAGACATATTCACCACGTGACTTCAGCCTTTCTGCCAGGTGGAGAAAAAAAAAGCCTAGCAAAAATTCACCTGCCAAGCAAAAAAAAAAAAAAAAGCCTTAAAGAGTGAAAACATTTTAGCAGTTGTTGGTCTGGACTCACTTGAATAAACTCTTCATACAGTGACATCCATGCACAAGTGCTACCAGGGAGGTTAAAGTCCATGCCCAATTATCTAAAAATGACATCAAAAGGGTTCTCGATCAGGAAACCAGCAGGTCTGTATTTGTGCAGGAATTGATGTTTGCTGAAGTCGCAGATCTCAACTGAATACAACTTCCTGGCAACCTAAAAAGTCAAGTTTAAAAAAAACCCACCCTATGTAGTCCCTCCATTTCCCGGAAAACTTTTTGATGCTCAGTCATCCTGTATTGTGGCCATTTCAGATGCAGCTCAGTGTAACTGAAATAATTCTACAAAAGGCACTGAGGTTGTTACCTTTCAGCTTTCAGCCCATTTTTCTTTTAGGTGAAAGAGTTTATTTGAGTTTCTTGTTCCCAGTCTGCACCCGAGCCTACCCGCAAAGCCCAGCCCCTTCCAGATCTTAGTGGAGGTCAGAATAAATGTGGGTGCACAGGGTGATTAAGCTGTTTTTGTTCTTTTTATGGGTTCGAGCTCCCTCTTTGCAATAAGAGCTTACCCTGATGAAAGCTGCTGTCCAAGGGCGTGTTCAGTGGGAGTTTGGTACATGAGAACAGATTCGTTAGCAAGGCTCTCCTCCAAATTTTTTAAGCTTGTCCATACACACTTGCTCTATCCTGGCTGTGGGAGTGTCCAGCTCTGACTCTGTTCCATGCACTTGGGATTTTCTCATGTTACGAAACAAGATGTCTGAGCTCCAGCTGGTCCAGTTTGTGCAGTGATGCCATTTTGGGATGTTTGGGGCTCTCTTGTCACACATGTTCTTTTTGTGTGCCAGCTTTCTGCAGTAGCATTGCTGCTATTACACATGGGGACATGGAGAAAATGAGTCTGGGGGACAGTGGGGTCCCTGGGAGGAGGTTGGAGGATTTGGGCTTGGCCTCTCCTGACAAATCACAAGGTTGGTGAGGTGATTGTGTAAGGGGATTTGGCTCAGAAGGGATTCCTCTTGCCTTGCTCCAGGGAAAGAGGCTTATTGAGGGGTCCATGGGGTGTGGGAAGCAGCAGGGTGTTCCAAGGGAGGGGTGCAGGGATCCTGCCTTTGCAAAGGCTCTTCCAGTGCACTGGAGAGGAGGAAAGCTTTCATCTTTAATCTGCTGGGAACATTTTAACGTGGATGTGGTGAAGTCCTGTCCCTCATGCTGTGGATTTGCCCACAGGAATTGGTTTGGGGATGGTGACCAAGCATAGATGCCTAGAAGAGAAGCTTGCAGAAGTGGACTTGGACTGAAATACGAGTGTTGCTACTGATGCCAGCACAATCCATCATGCTGGGATTCATGAGAAAGCTGGAGGAGCAAAGAGGAAAGGAGGGTGCTCTCTTTCAAGGTGCACTTGGTGCATGAGTGAGCAAGGAGAGGGAAACCTCTCCAGAGAGGGAAGCAGAGCCCCTGGGGAAGCAGAGGAAAAAGGTGGACTTGTTGCCAATGCACTTGGTACCTGAGTGAGCAAGGAGTACCTCCCCAGAGAGGGAAGCAGAGCCCCTGGGGAAGCAGAGGAAAAAGGTGGACTTGTTGCCATCCCAGCAGTGTCTCCAGGGATGGCTGGGGTCTGTGCCCACTTACCAGTCCTGTGAGAGCTGGTTGAGTTTTCCTCTGGAAGATGCCAGTCTCCCGTTGTGATCTGGTGGGGAGGGACCACATTTGGTGGGTGCCAAAATCTTCTCTGGGCTGGCTTTCTGATGATGGAAACTCCTTATGCTTTCTGTCCTTGCAGGATCCAAAGGAGGAGGTCTCAGAGAAACCAAAGTGTGCTCCAACTGCAGAGAAATATGGCTGGATTAAAAAAAGCAGTGGGGGGCTCCTGGGACTGTGGAAGGATCGTTACATCCAGCTGAGGAAAACACAGCTCATGGTCTACGAGGACGAGGTATGGTCACAGCTAATGGCCTTGAATGAGGGGCAGGAGCAGGCCCCTGGGGACACATGCATGTCCCTGTGTTTTTTACTCTTCCTCCAGCCCATTCCTTTCAAAAGGGCTTCTCCAGATATCTCCAGGAAGGGTAAACTCTGTAAAACAGACAGCAGCTGCGTTTTAAATATATTATATATTATAAATATATTAGCCACTGAATATTTTGACAGAGCCATTGCCAAAATAAAAAAATGGGGGGCAGGACATCCTGTGAGAAGGTGAACAGAGTAAAGCTTTGGGAGGAAGCAGGATATGTGCAA